ATAAAAGGTAACTTTATAAATTGTTTGTAATTTAATTTGTATGTACAACATATTTTACATGTTTATGTCCTTTAAATATATGGATGTTTCCTTTATTACAAGTATTTGTTATTATTCTTATTTATATAAAGTCATTACATTATCAACAACATATATTTATATTGTAGCATATTTACTTTTAAAACTGTAATAAACTACAAATGAAATTTTAATATCTTCAATTTTTATAAAAAAGTATAATGTATTTAATTTTCGAAAACATTAGTTATATAAATATAACTCCTATTATTTACTTCGTTAAAATTGAAATTTCAACCTGTTTCTTGGACATTATTATAATTATTTAAATTATTTACTACAAAAACTTGAAGTGAACAGTTGACAATGCTGCCAAACATTTCAGAAAAGATCCATTCATATTTAGATTTTAAAGCACACATATACAGTTAAGATTATACGATTTTATACTTTAGACATTAATAAATCAGTGATATGTTACATAATTATTAATGTATAATTACATATAGAATTTTAAAAACATTATTAAATATAAATTATAACATACAAAAAAATAAAAATTGGTAGTATGCGATGCAAATGGCATCCTGTACATGAGATTAGGGATAACTTCACATTACTGTGAGCTATAACGGCGCGTACAAGCTCCGAAGAATGTTCTTAGTTTACGATATTTAAAGTCATTTCATAATAAGAAAATACAGATTTTTATCGTAGATTGTTATGCATTTCTATTAATCTTCAAATCCTATTGCGAAATGCAGTTTGTGTTTTACGCGATTTCAATTCCAACACAATTGATCAATCTCTTTGTGAATGATAAAGCGAGTTATTCATACTAATCTGAAGTGAGTAGAATTTATTTAGTGTGCGCGCGTTATATTTACAAAAAAGGAAGTAGAACTTTAGCAATTCGTGAACAGTGGCAAGTGGGTAGAAGAATATGTATTGAAAGAAAACGACGGAGATAAGTAAAGAAAAACGCAGTGTTACTGATAATTACGTGTATATACGTGCAACTCCATGACATTTATGTCAAACAGGCAAACAGAGTGGATCATAAGACTGCCATATTCATAATGGATTTTAAATAAACATTGACGATAGAAAATGTTATTTAGTGCCAATATTCAAATATATACACAGTCGCATTGGTATTAATATATATATATCGAAGTTTAAATTTATTAAAAAACGAGTAGTTGTAACACAAGTGAAGATGATTTGTTCATAACATTATATATCAATTTCTGATAACTATTTTCTTATAAGTAATGAAATTTTAACGGTGCCTTAGTTATAATTATAATTAAAAGTAATGGTAATTCCAAAATATTGTATTAAAATATTAAAGTATTCTTTCAAATTATAATTTGACATGCTAGGGATAAAATAAAATAAAGTAAACATATTATTTTTTAAACAATACATTATTTATTATATTATCAAAATATTTATAAATTGTAAAAAGATATTAAGCCGCTGGAACGATTCTGATATACTGAATTCAAAGCAGAAAATTCTTCCCATAAAATATATGACCATATACATTACATTCTGCTTATATAGAACCATCTATACAAAGTGTAGTGTTCAATGATGACTTAGTAAGAAATAAAAATAATTAATAAATGAAAGTTGGATTAGAGTACCATTCAAATTGAAACTAAACAAAAATTAAACTTTGATCACGTCACATAAATACCGATGCCACTGTACACATGCGTGCGCACACGCTCGTATACACACAGGACAATATAGTACATACATATAAATATATATATATACACACACACATTATATACAGAGGATATATTTGAGGTTTCTCACGTACTGTAGGATCTATGAAAAAGATTCACGTGGGGGACCTGTTCAGGATTCGAACTCGGATATCGTCTCTACAAAGCAAAGGTGCTATATAGAGCGCCATCAAGCCCCACTGTTCTCTCTTATTTTTCCGGGTCTTTTCTCTGGCTGGATTCGCCTATAGGAGGCGCTCTCAATAATCAGTGCGAAGAAGAGCGTACAAGTGAAACGATGTTGTAACTAACGGCCAAAATGGAAGAGCAAAGCGTTTACAGCAGTATCAGTGATATAAATAGTGAAGAGGCAGTTAGAAGTGAACGTAAGTTCATCAACATTGTCATTTTCGATACTATGCTCGTGGGCTAACGTTCGTTATTAGTTGATACGTATAAGTTAGCCAACAGAGTGAACTAACCCTACCTCACTTTTTATCAAAACTCACGCGACAATACTCGTGTCTTATATCTGTCACTTATCCTGATCCATATATAAATTAAGATTTAATATCCGTTACCTTCGCCATGTATTCTCGTATTATGTTTTGAACTTTACGCGGGAGGAATGTCAACGGTTCCTTATAAATACGGCCTTGACTTATTCTCCAAAATTACGTCAGAAATGAATAATTTGTCACTTCGAAACACATTTACAAACTTTTTCGTGGACTATTGTTGTAATCGTATTTTGTATTTACTGTATCTTTAGTAGTATTTATGTTATTATCGTTTAAAAGTTATTAAATTGGCATCATAGGAAATATAACATTTCTTGTTTAGTTTCTGTATTTACCATTGAATTTTACGCTTCTGTTATCAGTTAATCATTACTCAGTAAATAAATGTAAAATGTCACTTTGAGTATTTAGGATTTATATATCTTTGTTTTGTTTTGGCTTAGTCATTATTTATGAGGCATTTGAAATGTAAAGTAAAAGATACAAGAGAGTTGTTTGATATTTATTGTTTGAACTAAGAAGAGGTATATGATAATAGGGATTTATTACAGTCTTTGTTTGTGAATTTCAAAGGCTTACCTTCACTGTCATTAAAGTTAGTCATTCAATGTAATTATGGTTATCCTTTAGGCTTGAAGAATATTATTTAAGAGTCATAAAATATATCTCATAATTGTTTCCTAATTTGTTAAAAAAATTTATATTATCATGTATTTTTATATAAAATTTGTGTAGTATTTATCTTTTTATATTATTATTTTAGTCAATATAATCTAATATAAATTTTTCTAAGAGCTTGTACATATGAAAGTATTTAAGAACAATAAAATGCCTTGCAATGATTTGAGATAATTTTACTTATTTTTGTTTATTAGGATTAGGTATTAGGAGTTTGTAGTGATAATGAATAAATGAAATATTTCTTTTAATTACAGCTGTGATTATTCCACGTAAAAAACGAATATGCTTAATTAGTGCAGCTGGAGATGATCCTGCGCTTGGTGCTGCTGCTCAGCAGTTTAGTGTACCTGTCCTTAAATCAGAAAATGGTTTAGAATATGTAGAAGATACAACGTATTGTACTTATTTTATATTAAAACAGTTTGAGGGACCTGAATACGATGCTCTTCATAAAAGTGCTCATAGGTTTGACATAATTTCTTTCGTTAATTTTCTAATTTGTTAAGAAGTAGTCAAAAAAATTTGATTTTTGGTTATTTTAATTAAATAAATTACAGAATATTGGGACCGACGGCTCTTCTGCAATTAGCAGAAAGAAAGGACTCACTACCTAGTATTAACAGACCTATGTATACACAAGCTATGGTAGGCACAGTGGTAGTATTTACTGGATTTAGGAAAAAGGATGAATTGGTTAGTGTTAAATTATTAATTTAGATTTATTATATTATCAGAATATGAAAAAGTTTTACCTTTGTAGACCAAATTAATTAACATGATTCATAATATGGGTGGAAGTATTAGAAAAGAAATGGGTGCAAAAGTGACGCATCTCATTGCTAATTGTTGCGGTGGAGATAAGTATAGATATGCTGTCACATTTAGGGTACCGGTAATGTCAATGGATTGGGTGACAGCTTTATGGAATGCCAAAGACGATATTTCCAGTTATGGAAACAATGAAGAACTGGTAATAATCTTATTCAGAATAAATACAATGTTTTTATTAGAATTATTTTGTACTTTCATTTTTCACTGGCATTTATTAACATAAAGCTTTTATGTTTATTATTTTATAAATGTTTTATTATTTAGATTACAACTTACAAGTTGAAACCATTTTTTGGAGCGAAAGTATGTTTTTTTGGTTTCCCCGAAGGAGAGAAACATCATATGTGTGAAGTTTTACAACAACAAGGTGGTGAATCTACAGAAATTGATGATCCGAATTGTACACATGTGGTAAGTTAAGAAAGCATTTTATATCATAGCATAATGTTGTTTGCAGCATACAACATGAGCTTTACATACATGCACACTTAATGTACAAATGATTATTATATTCTTTAGGTAACAGATATAGGAAATGGCGAATACAAGAAATGCAACAATGCTTTTGACACGCTACCATACACTAAAAATCTTAATTATGTTCCACAACGCTACACAATAACAAAACCATTTCCCTTCACTTTTTACAATCCATATACCAATACTATTCCAAATTCAAAAACAGTGAATTTATCCCATTCTTGCAATATTAATTGCACAAAAATGCCAAAACAGTTAAATACTATGTATTTCTCGCACAGTTTATGTTCTTCTCTGCTACAATATCTAGAATGCAAAGAAAATAAATTTAATCACTCTAATTCAGACAATATTAGTCAAGATTCAGCTATTTTTATGGATGATAATTTATACGATTGCCCACATTTACCAGATGAGTCTTATATGTCTGAAGTATCTATACCACGAACTGATTCAGGCATTGATATGTCTACAACAAAGTATCCTTGTAATTTAACGCGAACAAACAGTTTAGCTGTACCAGGGCAAATTAATTCCCCCGTAACATCTACTATGTTGGATATATATTCAACATTTTCATCTTCATTAGCTAATAATGAGAAAAAGGTAGGGAATAATATATCTGATGTTGTTTCAAATGAAAATATTGATAATGAAAATGTATACACTAAGTCAAAGTCACATTTTAAGTCTTCTACACTATGTAAAAAGAGACTTCCTCAACATGTAAACAGACACTGTTTTAATACTGAAGCTCGTTTGTTGAAATCTTGCAAAAATACACAGTGCTCGCAAAGTTCTTTCTTTCTCAATAGGAAAATTATAACTCCTAGGCGATATATTAAGTGGCGAAAAACAAAGTCTTGCATTGCGATTCATAAAATTAATTCTCCAGACAAATTTAAGTTTAAAAAAATTTATTCTCATCCTAATTTATTGAAACGATTTGACACAGAATTTAATGATTCTCGGTTGCATGATCATCTTATGCCAGAAACGAAAAAAAGAAGCTTTTTGAGTACATGTAAATTGAGTTCATCCATGTTGTCGAAGCTTAGTCATATAAATTTATGTCCAATATTTAAACAGTATGTACTTGCTAGTCCATCTCAACAAATTCCAGAAACTCATCTAAGACAGAAGTACACTCCTTTACCTAGTCCTCTCCCTGTACCTGCAAAGGTAGCAAAGCTATCGGATACCGAATGTGGCTTAAGAAGTGCGTTTACATCGTTCGGAAAATTTTCAAATCTTCCTTCTAAATCTTATACTTCAAAAGATGATTATATGACACATGAGAAAATGGAGGACAAACAATTATTTTCGGTATCTTTATTTTTTTAATGGTATTTTGGGTGTGGAGGCACAGATTAATTTGTCGTTTTTTAGTTAATTATTGATTTGGGGCAATATTAGGACATTACAAATATATGTAGGAAAGGAAATATTTATTCATAAATGTGTTATTACATGTAGATTACATATTTGTTTAGACATAGTTTGTTCTGCCTTTGTGACGTTATCCTTATGCCGTTTTTAATAATTTAATATTTACGTATCTGTACACATTACAGCTCATTATTCATAAACATTAACTTTTTATCTTATGAAATATGTCATGTTAGTCTAATCTTTTTGTTGTATTAGTATAAAAGATACTAAGTACTGTATCTGCTATATGTATCAATCTTTAAAACGGGTAAATTAATGTAAAATTATAAATAATTCTTATTTTAGGTTGTGGATGAATCAAATGTAAATACATTACCGGATTTGGCTTCTGTAAGAGCTCATATTGTGAAAGCCGAGTGGTTTTGGACATCCGTGCAAAATGAGGGTGCAGCTGATGAAAAAGAGTATTTATTTGAAGATGTAAGTTTATTAAGATTGTTGTGTAAATTTAGCTTTTGATAATTTATTTTATGTCTAGTATTTGGAATCTGTTCTATCGCCAACGATATCATCTAGACGTGATAGTCAACAAACAACTACTCCGAGTACAGCTTCTACAAGACGAAAACGTAAACGCTTAGCGGAAACTTTATCCAGTTTGGTTCAAAACGGTGCAGATTCACCAGCTTTGCACAAAAGGCGGTCCAGCATCAGTGATGCAGGATTTTTGAGTGTCAGTGGAAGTTTTCTCGATTGTACAGCAAGTCCAGATAAGCCATTGCTCGATGGTTAGTTAGTTACTATTAAAGTTAATTTAGAGCTTTTTATATTATGTTTCTTTCTCAAGGTACATTGTGTCTTAACCGTTTGAGTGTCACGGGTCTTCGCAAAAACTCAATCGAAAAGTGCCAGCGGCGCGATCACACTTCTTTCGTTTCAGCTCAGAAACTGAATTACGTTTTTCTACTTTTGCATAAAAAAGTTCTGCAGACTGCGATCGTTCCATTTTCTAAATAATTCGAAGGAAAAGAAATAAATAAACTTAATTTGATTCTATGAACCGATAGGCTGGCACTTTTAGGCAGTGTAACGGAAAAGCGTGATCACGCCACTTAGCATTCAAACGGTTAAATATTACTTATAATAATAATTGTTACTTATAAAATGATTCAATATAACCAGTTTAATCGTCTTAACAATCCAAGTACATCTTCCCTTCTTTTGTGGTTCATTTGTTTTGTTTAATAAAATTGATATATTATACGTAATTACCTTCTCTTAACATTATCATACTAACAATACATGATTTAAATTGTTAAACTTAACAGTGCTAACAAGTAAAAAGTATTTATTATGAACCATATAAAAGGGAAGATAATATAGAAGTGAATTTTTCGTAACTGTCAGATATTCCAGAAGTGGAAGCTGTGAATACGGACAGTTCTAGGAAAAATTTATCACCGCGTCATCAGGTTTTCTTAGAATTAGTGCAAACTGAATCGAATTATGTTGGCATTCTCAGTACTATTATGACAGTGAGTATATGTTAGATGCGTTTTGTATTAACATAAATAGCGAATTGATATATTTCATTCTTTTTAGTTGTTTAAATCACCATTGGAAGATCTTATAGATACAAGTGACGAGCTACTGAACGGTACAGAAGCTAAAATTATATTTGGTAATTTTCCACCCATTTATGAAGTTCATAAAAAAATGTTAGAAGAATTAAGATACAGTGCAACACATTGGATGGAGGATATTAGTATAGGCAATATATTTCTAAAGTATGCACCAGACCTAGTCAAGGCGTATCCATCGTACGTTAACTTCTTCGAAAATACAAAGGAAATGCTCGACCAATGCGATCAAAATAAATCACGATTTCATGCCTTTCTGAAGGTTTGTCAGACAAAACCTGAATGCGGTCGACAAAGCTTGAAGGAGCTATTAATTAAACCAGTACAAAGGTTACCCAGTATTAGTTTATTATTAAATGGTGAGTGTGTTAATTATAGATGAATTATACTGGTAATTCATTAAATCGTACTACAATGCTTGTGTATTTTAGATATCCTTAAACATACGAGTAAAAATAATCCAGATTATAGCGCATTGGAATTGTCAATTAGCAGTATTAAGGAAGTCATGACATACATAAACGAAGATAAAAGAAAAACTGAGGGACAATTAGTTATGTTTGATATTTTCAATGAGATTGATAACTGTCCACCGCATTTAGTTTCTTCACATCGATCATTTATTGGTAAATGCGATGTGATGGAACTTAGCGAAGGTTTGAGCGGGCGTGGTGATCATTTAGTTTTGTTCCTGTTTACCGATACACTCGAAATATGTAAGAAAAGATCAAAAGCCTTTAATTCATTAAAAAGTCCTAATACAGCGAATGGATTGCATACAACAAAATTAAGTCAAGGGAAACCGTATAAACATATTAAAATGTTATCACTTAGTACGATAAAAAAAGTTGTGGATATACGAGAAACTGACGGTATGTTAGTAATATAGTATATTAAACAATTATGCTCGAAAATTTTAAATTCCCTTTTTCTAATTATTTTATTCAATATTTATATACTTTTGTTTTAATTCCATTTAAATTTTGATGTTTTTTTTTCAAAGGATAATAAAT